GGGGGCGGCGGCCTGGGCGGCGGGGCGCAGGGGCGGAGGGCGAGGCCGCGGTACCCGGCGAGCTTACGGCACGCACGCACGTATGCACGCACGTCCCGACGCATGCACGCACTACGTATGCACGCTGTAGCGGCCGGCCCGGCAGCGGCCAGAGGCTCCGGCGGCGAAAGGGAGAGTGCGCATGCGCATGGTATCTGGGGCACCGCGCAGGCACTGCCCGGACCGGGGAGGGCGGAGCTTCCGCGCCAGGGGGCGTGGCCTCACGCGGTTTGGGAGGAGGGGCAGTCTCTAGTGAGTCTGTTTAGTTAGAGCCTGCGGGGAGAACTGTTGTTAAGTGCTTTACTTAATAATAATAATTAACAAGAATAAACTTCCACTTTCTTCCCGCACGTGTGGTGCCAGACTCTGCTGAGCCTGAATATAATAAAGTACTTATTATTCTTACAAACACGATGTTTATGGGTTAGTGATATGTGCTAGGCCTTGTGACAGTTCATAAATAACAATTATAAATATAATAAACAGGCAATTATTGTTTGCTTATTTCGTGCCACTCTGCTGAATGCTTTCAGTAACTGTCATAAATAAAAAGCTGTTCTGCATTCACATTTCCAAGCAGCAAAGCACTACCCCGAACTGTTTGCTAATAGATATCATTATTTGTTTATGCAAGAAATATTTAGAAATACAAAAACTGGAAAACGACCTGCTTCACACCTTGCTTGGACCTCATGGAGAGAATAAATTGGTTACACAAATAAATCACATGATTAAAAGTGTCTCAGAGCCTAGATCTGTCTAATGCCCAAAATAGGCACCCTAAGCTCATTTTAGCGTGTGACTAATATTTCATTGTGTAACATATGCTGTGTGAGATAGACCAAACATGCATAGATGAAGGAAACATGCCCCTCCCCAGTCTCTGATCTGCGCTCGCTGTGCTCTCTGCCTTTCTCACGCGCGGGACCTTTGGGCTTTCTAAATTTGTTAAGAGTATCTTTCATCAAACGCAAAGCTTTGCAGTCAATATTTTTCTTAATTTTACTCTTTTTGGTGCTGTTGTCTTGTTTTACTTTTGTTTCAAAGACAGGGTCTCATATCCCAGTCTGCCTTGAACTCACTATGTAGCTGAGGATAACCTTCACTCTCCTGCCTCCACCTCCTGAGGTCAGGAATTCCCATTCATGCCGGGCTGGAGCTGGCATCCAAGGCTGAATGCCAACCAAGCACCTACCAGCTGCACTGACGCCCTGCTCTCTAATTTTATTTTATTTTTGAAGTAGGGTTTCACTACGTAGCCCAGGCTAGCCTGGAACTTACTATGTAGAGACCAAGCTTGCCTCAAGTTTGATGATGATGGTGATGATGGTGGTGATGATGATGATGATGATGATGATGATGATGATGGTATGATGATGGTGGTGATGATGATGGTGATGATGGTGGTGATGATGATGGTGATGATGATGATGATGGTGATGATGATGATGGTGGTGGTGGTGATGATAGTGATTGTAAATTATGTCTAACTGAGAACTTTCTATGTGCCATTTTAAAGAGTGTGACCCAGTAGTATGGACCACTTTCATGTTGCCTGCAGCTATCCAGCCCACCCATATCCAAAACTTTAATCTTGCAAAGCTGAAGTTCATCATCACTCAAACAGTAAGCCCGAATTTCCCTTCCCCAGCTCCAGCCCTTGGCGGTCATCGCTCTATTTTCCATCTCTGAATTTGAGTGTTATGGTACCTGTGGAAGAGGCATTCTATCAAGTCCTTTGTGACTGGGTAACTTAGCACTGAGACAGGAAGGTATAGAAGCAGGCGTCGTGAAGGGGTGAGAAGGGAAGAGCCCATCACTGTCCTGGCTCATAATTTGTGTTTCTTTCTGGCTAATATTCAAGAACCTCAGTGCCACTGAATGTCACAGCCTCACTGCAGAGGGCTCAGAGACAATGACTCTTCTGAACCTAGCAGGGGTGGCCCCTGACTGGGAGCACACATTGAGCTCTCCCCAAATCCCAGGTTCCAGTAAAGTAGTAACCCCATGAATTTTTATAACAATAGGACAAAGACAGTTATAAAATAGCATTTCTCAACTACTTAGGGGGGAACGTGAGGTAGGCAGTTACAGAAGAGAGGGAAGCGCTCTGCTACAAGCCATAGATACCCCGACAACATTCTTAGCCCTTAGAGAGAAAGTTGGGGTTGGTCATACACTCCTAAGGATTTACCTGAGGTGACAGAAGCTGTTATGCTGGGTACAGAAGAGGGTAAAAGATGGCTATCCAGAGCACCAACATGTCCTGTGGTGAACTGGCTCTGGACTTGCAACATTCCAACCCTTCCATGTCATTGCGGTTCTGCTCAGTACCGTGGACGAGACAGCTTCTGTCCCAGAATCCTCATGTTCATAATAAAGCCAAAGTGCCCAAAGAGTTCATGTGTGTCTCCCTAGAGGCACCTCAGACAAGGGTTTGAAAGCATGGGTGAGCTTTCCCATATCAGCACCCCCTCCCATCCCTACACTGGAACCTGGCACCTCAGGCAAAGCCCTTACAGCTCTACTGACAAAGCACAACCCTATTAATAACCCAGCTTGAATATTGTTTTTATATCATTTCAAACTCTACTTCGTCTTTAAGCTTTGTAAGAATTTGCTCCCTTCAAAGGACGCCATGGTGGAGGCGCCGAAGTTGTTAGCAAATGTGGTGGAGCACGCTGAAAGCCAGCAATCGGGAGGCAGAGGCACACAGATCTCCTATGAAGGCCTGCCTGGTCTGCATAGTGAGTTCCAGGCCGTCTAAGAGAGCTCTTTTGAAAAGAACACACCCATGACTTGGCTGTGCGCTGTCTTTTTCCTATGTCTCTGTCTAAACACTTAGTAAACTCATTCAGTTTGCCTTGCGTCTAGCTCATCTTAAAATTCTTTTCTGCGCCATCGTCAAGCATATGGCCTCACCTGAGCAGAGGTCTCTGAGGGAAAAGAAGCTCTCCAGGCTGTTGGCAGTGGCGTTGGACTGTGTCTCCCTACCGCCACTGCTGACAGCGTGATGTCCCTCAGGGCTCATCTATTGTGTAGCATGTGTGACAATATCGCTTTCAAATGCCACCTCAACCCATCCCCCCACTCTTAACACCTGGAGTTCTCCTTGGCATTTTAATTCATAATGTTTTGGAAACTGCAGGTTGTTTTCCAATAGCAGCTTAGAAAAGGAGTCCAGGGTGTTGTTCCGGGGGTCTGCAAAGAAAGAACCGAGTGTGCTGGGCTGCCTTCTGCTCATCAGGAAACTCCTGTTTGGCTCTGCTGACATGCTTGCACTCGTACCTACGCACAGTGTCACAAATATTAGCAAAATACCTTTATTACTGGGGATTGTTCTGCAGAGAAGGAAGAGGGAAGAGAGGAGTAGAGGGGAGAGAGCTGGAGAAATAGTCACATCTTCTCATACCAGCTCATGTCTCTTAAGAGAAATCATCAGGTGATGGCTCCCAGCACTAGGGAGGCAGAGACAGGCGGATCTCTGTGAGTTCGAGGCCAGCCTGGTCTACAAGAGCTAGTTCCAGGACAGGTGCCAAAGCTACAGAGAAACCCTGTCTCAGGGAGGGAGGGAGAGAGAGAGAGAGAGAGAGAGAGAGAGAGAGAGAAATCATCATCATCTATTGGACTTAGTCTTGCTGTGTAGCTCAGTTGGTTCAGAACTCAATTCCTAGTCCAGATTGGCTTCCAATTTGTAATCCACCCGCCTCAGTCTCCTGAGAGCCAGCACCGTGGCCAAGGACCACTACCCTCAGGCCCATGTGTCTGCTTAGATGGCTTTTCTCCCCACCATCTTTGGTGCAGGAGGCTTTTGCATGCTAGTAAGTGTCCTGTGACTTACAGCCCCAGCCCTCTGAAACCCACTTTGACCTGTCATCTTCGTGTCCCACATTCCAGAAAGATCTAGACCTTTCTTTGTGTCACATTTTATCCCTTAGGCTGCCAGTAAAGCCTTTCTAGTTGTTTTCCATTGATCACCCGAGTCTACAGCTATGCTTTGTGACTTTATGTACCAGTGTGGTCATGCGGGTTTGCAGCAACCTCAAGCCCCACCCCAGGCATGATATCACACAGTTTTACTGTTAGTTTCTCTTCCTGGCTTTCTAGGTGCTCAGCAGTGACAGTACCCAGGTCAATTTGGGGATGGAAAGTTTATACAGAACCCCCACAACCTGCCACAAAAGTCACTTTGTAAGTGAACCCACTGAGCAGGCAGCAACACCGCAAGGGAAGCAGAATATTATCCAAAGAGTGAGTGCATTGTCTGCTTAGTCACTACAGAACCTGCTGTGAGACAATGGCTTTACCCTGTAAACATTTGATTCTTGTACTTGTTTAATAAAATGCTGATTGGCCGGTAGCCAGGCAGGAAGTATAGGCAGAACAATGAGAACAGGAGAATTCTGGTGAGGATTATGCAGTCTGCAGTCGTGATCCAGCCACAGAGGAAGCAAGATGTGACTGCTTTGCCAAATAAGGTACCGAGCTACATGGCTAATATAGACAATAATGATGGGCTCATATAAGTTATAAGAGTTAACAAGAGTCTGAGCTCGTAGGC